TTATAATATCTTTAAAAGTTTTTTTTTTCTGTGACGCCTATGTAAATCTTTTCGTCTGGACCGGCAGAACAATTGAATGTAACTTGTTGGAATATCTGCCTTGGAAATAGTGATAGAGTAGCAAGACGCTAGCGACGTTTTCGTCAGTGGGAAAAGTGGTTGTAGGGTGGAAAATAATTTATCATTGATCAGGCTACGTAAAGGTATTTGAACTCTGCCAAAGCTAGAAAATTTCTTTCAATACATCATGTGCGTATTAAATTCTCCGAATTCTTTTTATATGTGTTTGAAATTTTATATGTCTCATTCTGATTGTAAGTATACATTTTCTTGTAGACCCTATTTACCTTAAGACTTTTTCATTCCACATATTCTGTCCATGGTATTCTTAGCATTCGTCAATAGAATCATAAATCTGTCGCTTCAAGTTAGAACCCAGTGACAAAAGAGAATCTATTCTTAAGCCAGGATAACACCCGAAAGAATGTTATGAATTGGGTTTGGTGAAGGGTGCTGTCTGCCATGAAGTGCTTAACTGTCCTCAACTGGAAGCATTTCAAAAACATTTGTAGAAAAAGCGTCCATCACTGCTTGAACCTAGATGCGTGTTCTTTTTACTTTACAAGGAAAGACAGCATATTGTCGGAGTCACTCTGAAAGACATTCGTCTCATTTCATCTGAATTGTTGTAAGTGATACACACCCATGATTAAATAGAGCAGGTGAAATGAGAATCGTGCTATTGCACTCAATTTGAAAGTTGCAGATTAACAAGATAAATAATAACACAAAAGATTTTTTTCTATATCGTTACTGCTTTTTGAGGAAGCGAAATTAAAGATTACGTTTAAGTTCCAAATCGTAGCGTTGGAAATCCATTCCGGTGAAAAGCAAACTCATCATTTGCAATCATCTGAAAGGATTATAGTTCAGCCTTTTACAATTTATAATTCACTAAAGCTTTAAAAATTTGATAAGAACAAGATACATCGCACAAGTACATTATTACTAAATCATTTTGCCATCAAATAAGACCTTCATTTATTTCAAAAGGAAACTATACCGAACAATTTAGCTCTATGATAATGTAATATATTATACGGTGCAGTAGTCTTAGTGTGATTTTCAATAAACAATGCAAATTTAAACATTTTGTCTTATAATTTGTGCCAAGCAGTATTATGGTTTTATATAACGTTGTGATAAATATGGCGACAAAGATGAGGACAGTAGTCCGAATAATGTAAATAATGGTGTTATATACATCATCTATTTTTGTTTTCATTAATTATGACCTAACGAATAGTGTAAAATCTTATTCATTGATTAGCTATTTTTGTAATCTTTTTACAATTTTTTTACACATTTTTTACTTATCGAATACAGTAAAAAATGGATATTTGGTTTGAATATATTTCCCATTCAATGTATCGAATACAAAAGTTATTAACTTTAGTTGGATTTATTCTTGAAATAAAATTTTGATGTCAGTTTGTAAGTAAAAACCTGAGAAAATTAAGTATTTCTATATATTTTTTTCAGACGTATTATAACTAAATGCTCAAAAAGTAGTAAAATCTATGAATCTGACTTTTGGTGTCAATACTTATCAAACAGAATTCCAGCTTTCATTTTGAGGACAATGTTGATTTTGAGGGCAATGCTGATTTTGAGGGCAATGTTGATTTTGAGGGCAATGCTGATTTTGAGGGCAATGTTGATTTTCTAAAAAATAAAAAGAAGTGAAATATGGATGAGTGGTCCGAAATCAGAGATGTCTTGTGTTCGAACGAATTGTACTTAGACCAAGCAGACTCTTCTTTTCTGTCTCAGCTCGAAGTAAGGAGACAATTTTCTTTCTTCGAGACGACATGCAAGTTGAATTTGTATTCAGAGTTTTTTTCTCCTAGACTGGTTAACACCCAAGGTTATAGTATCCAGTCTATTCTGCTATTTAGCCATAGCTGGAGAGAAGAGATGTATTCATATTTTTCCGAAGGGTATTAGCCTGTAAGTGAAAGTAAAGACTCGACTGGAATTCGAACTATGCTAAGTATTATAGTACTAAATATTTAAGTTTTGCTTCATCCACCTTACTCACCTCACTCCATCTATCATCCTTTCAGATGATTGCAATTGATTTGTTTGCTTTTATGACTTTTGCGGGTTATTTAAAGCCAGAATATATTTTTAGATTGTAAGAATTATTTGGAGACAGTAATGATTTACTGGTGCAATTAATTAACTCATAGCTTGGGGGTGGAGAGAGAGGTAGATTCTACCTTTCTCAAGGGAACTTGCGTCTAAGCGTTTGTAATCAACTCGACTGGAATTGGAACTCGGCTTTCCGATTAACAATTCCCAGCACTTTTCGATTACATCACCGGCGCATTCAAGCTTACAGCGCCTGATATTCCAAAGCGGTCACCCATGTAGGTACTGGCCAGGTTCGACGTTGCTTAACTTTGGTGATCGTGTGAGAACCGGTATTTCAACGCTGTATGCCAAGATTTTAAAGTTTTTAATTAATTCATTGTGAAGAAGTTAAAAATGACACTGGGTGTTTCTTTTCATCGAAATCTGAAGAATTTTACGCTCGAAAGATCAACAGCCGACGAAAATTGATACGTTTATATATTTGATAATGAGGGCAAGTATCTTCTTTTTTTTTTTATCATTTCACCCAAGCAAGGCAATAAAGCCACTAAAACGTATGCGGTTACTGCGCGTGAGAGAATATAAGAAAAATAAAACATTATTAAATCGAGAGAACAATGAAAGAAGAGCAATTAAGAAGACAGAAGATAACGATTGACGTTGCATTTAAATTTGTAAAGAGCAAGCTTGAGTGGAAAGCAAGAAGCTGGAAAAAAGTTCCACATGTGAGAAGTAAGAGAGAAGAAACTCTTAGTATAAAACTTACGGTTACGGTTCTGGCCATTGTAACTGCAAAATGATGAGACCTAACTGCCAATCTAGTACTGCACTTAAATTTATAAAGTCTAGGTACCATAGAGGAAAGAAGAACAGAACAATTACCATGAAATATTTAAAAAAAAAAAAGGCACAGGAAGCTTTGTTATGACAATGGGAAAATGATTGAAGCCGAAATGACAGGTCAGGACAAATAACATTGCAGATTATTTTGAGTTCATTAAATATATGAAAACCAAATAACTATTTCTTTATTATTCAAATACTATGCTATTTTATATAAGCGATTTGATTGTCGGTGGATAAGGGTTTCTATGTGATAGCTTGGACTACGTCCTCCGCGGATACCGGCAAACGACTGAAGATAATGAAATTAATGTGTATGATGAAAAGTCATACAGGTTTTCTTTTTGTCAGTCATAATGCAAAATACCGCAGTGATGGTGAAAGACAATAAATGTCTTGATATTTGTAACGCTATTTTAGACAGTTTTTATCTGATTTATTTTGTAAATTTAAAACTTCGCACTCCCCCGATCTTTCAAGTGTCTGTCGTATTGTCAACAATGCAACGCCAATCCCTGCCAGAGGACTTCGTCTCTAGACGCGAGCATGGGAGCCGAGTGCAATTCTATTTTCGTCTTGATTGTGTCTTCGCGGTTAATATTGTATTTCTTCATGTACCTCACCGGGAAACTCACAACTCTTTGGGTCTAGTCATTTGGATCTAAACCAACGTCTTTATTCACTGGGCCATGTGTCCAGTGGATAAAGACATGGCTCATTGAGTTCAATACCAGGCAACAGCAGTGTTAAACCAAACTTGGAGAGTTGATTTAAAGGGAAATAACTCAGATACTCGGAAGAGGCATGGCAGGTGGAACTAGAACAAATCTACCCCGGTGGATGAAATAAAGGATTCGATTCGAAATTCCAATTACCTGCAGAAGGCCGGGGCGTACAACGGCCGAAATGTTGGGAATATGGCAATAAAGATGAGGATAACACTCCGAGTAATGTAAATAATGCAAGTAATCATAATACCTCATTTCAGTGATATAGACAGATATATAGACAGACATAGACATAAAGGCCGGAGCGTACAACGGCCGAAACGTTGTGAATATGGCAATGAAGATGAGGATAACGGTCCGAATAATGTAAATAATGCAAGTAAGAATAGTTTTACTAGAAATAGATTGCAATGAATGAACAAAGACATTTTAAATCGTCAAGAATTAATATAATTAATTAAGGCGTTATTAATTGAATAAAGCGATTCTATTCATCAGCGGGAATTAATCATTTTATCTCGTGGGGTGGGGAATGCCGATCGTCATTGCTTAATGAAAATAGCTAGAATGTTCAGAGGAAGTAATGTGTACAAGGACGACAAAATAAATAAACACAAACCAAGAAAAACTCCTAAAATAACTCCTAATAAAACCATATAATAATTATCAAACATATAATCAATGTGTATTTATTTATATATTTTCTGTCCCATCTGTAGTGGCAAGGGAGGTAAATGAACTTAGGTTAGTAAATTTATGAGTAACTATTTCATTTAGTGATTTTAATAATCTATATACAAATATTTATCTGTATGTAGACAATTAGTTCCCGAGCAAAATGTTCCGTTTCATTAATCAGTTATTGTCCTCTCTCCTTAATAGTGTTTTTTTTTCTCCTATTTTCTAACACTCAGTAACTCGTTGCATCTCAGTGGCTTTATTGTCTTGCTTGGAGTGGAATGATTAGAAAAACTATATACGTTTAATAAAAAGCACTGAATTCATGGCAGATAAATGTCAATGAATATTGGATGATGAAGATGAAGAGAAGACTTCAAGCAATAGAAATGATTTGGGAAGTGTTTTAGCAGAGGACGAGAAGTGCGACACTGAGATCCGAAAGATGCCTTCCAAAAGCTAAGCAATATATTAAGAAAGAGAAAAGTTTCGTTAGAAACAAATAAAATAGTACTGAAATGTTGCATAATGTTATCCCGCCTATATAACAGTGAGTGCTAGACAATCGTCTCACAGATGAAGAAGAGACGAGTCAACAGAAATGTTGCTCTACGGAAAGATGCTGAGAATACCATAAACCGAACATGTGAACAATGACGAAGTTTTAGAGAAAATGCAAAAAGTGAAAGAAGTACTTATAAAAAAAAAACAAGCCAACACTTAATAACTTTAGTTATGAACACGGTTACAATTTATTGACCATATTCGAAAATTAAAGGTATACTTTCAGCAATTTATATACTATCTACAATAATGTAATACGGTCTTAGACCCAATTTATTATAGTAATGAATATTTAGAGAAAATGGAAGTAAAAAGAGAAGTTATATTTAACATCAAAAAGAGACACTTAAAATTTCTGGGGCACATAATGATGAAAGAGGGCTTGGAAAAAGTGATACTCACAGGACAGAATAAAGGCAAGAGGAAAACAACGCATAACCTATCTAGCGAGTTTGAGTAATATGATGGCGGAACAAGGTTTAGGAGAAATAACAAAAAGATTAAAATTTATTAAGAGCTACAAAAATTCAGGAAAATATTTCAGCTATGATTATAATGCCCTGAAGAGACACGGTATATAGAAGAAAATAATAATAAATTAGTTCAAATTCCGGGATTAGTCTGTCGCATTCTTTTATTTTTAAAATGTCTTTAAGAAAGGTATAATGTATGAACTCTCTTCCGATGAATGAATTTATTTTTTTTACTTTTTAGGAAAATGAAAATCTCCACTTTAGTTTACTTTATTTCACCATACGGTCATTTTTAGACTCACTGGGTGATTTCTACCTTTTCCTCAGATTAGGTCATTTGTAGTGGTATCCAGTAATATGAATCTGTTTTCGGGGTGTATGATGAAATTTGTGTGACGCTGAAAAATATTGCGTCATCCGTGATTACATAGAATTTCAAAACGCCGAGACATTTTTTATCTCATCTGTCATTAGTTGTTCTTGCTTTTGTCTGCGATGGACGTTACTCCAAGGAAGCGTATGAAAATTGTAACAAATATAAAAATTCACTGGCAAGACTTACCAGTGAGAAAATATTCCGTATTATCTACTGGCTCGAAACTGTCCTTTAAACCACTTTAGAATCTGTGGTCAATCTGCAAGGAAAGGTTTTGGTGGAATGGATATTTACGAAATACTAATATGTGCACTGGGTCATTAGTTTTTTGGAAAATACGAAAAAAAGGTAAATAATAACGGAAATTATCTCTTTTGTTTCAATTAATTTGCACATAAAGTAAAATAAATTTCTATTTTTTGAATCTTTTAAATTCGTTTTAACACAGCCTAAGGTAATAAGACATAATTTGTACATTTATTAAAAACAACGAAAAAACCATTTTTTACTTTTATGATATTTTTACTATACAGATAACAAATGTTAAGAAATCTTTGGAGAATGCCTATGCTAGTGAAGCTGAATTATAGTGTCATATATATATATATATATATATATATATAAATATAGATAACTAGACTCGTTTCATTTCAAACCCTCGAATTTTTTTTTTGCTAATCAAATCAATCTCGAGGGAAAAAAAGGTTTTAAAAAAAGAAAGAGCTACAAACATGAACTTCTGCCGACAAAAAAATCGCACAGATGCAGGTCTGAAACCCAAAGACAAAACCCCGACACGAGTAACAACTAACTAACAAAAGAGCTCAATACAACCGTAGAGCAGACCTAGATACTGAAGTATAAGCAATAAAAGAAAAGGTCTTCATATGGGATCGTCAGGAAAGTTTGGCCAAATAACCTTATATAATCGTGGGGGGAAAAATAAAACTTGTTCAGGGAACCATTGGAAAATAATGTACAGGGTGCGATGGATAAATTGTCGTCTAAATGACTCAAAACTGAAAATAACACTGACATCTCATTTTAACAGATATAATACCAAAAAAGACGCAAAAATATCTTAAAAATAATAAAGAGTTAATTTATTCAAGATTTCGACAATTAGCTTCAATCACGTCCTCAAAACGACTTCAAAAAACCTGAGCTCTTAATGGCGGTAATAAAAATTGTTGGTGAATACTGCCATCATCTTTACCTTCAGTTCATTTTGGTTTACAAAAAAGTTTTTTGGTTTAGATTGATTTAATATAACCCCACGCATAATAAAAATGGGGGTTGTAATCTGGGGAGTTAAATAATCCAATGTAAGGGTTGATGTGGTCGCAGAAATTGTCTTCGAGACATGACTGTATTCTTTTTGTTGTGCGGCCTGGCGCAAAAAAATTAAACCATATATGAATGTCTTTTCAGCAGCCACCCTCTTGACCCATGGCAGCAAAACCTCCTCAAAGGCAAAAGTGTAAATTCTGTGTTGAGTCTGAGGTCCTCGCCAACAAAAAATGATTTCTTTTTTTTAGAACGATCAAAATGAGTTTCCGAGCTGAAACATAAAATAAAATCACCCTTAAGAATCATCCAAGTCTTTCTGAATCCTCTGCACATCAAAATTGAAAACAAACTTTTGAAATTTCATATTGAATTTAAGCGCGAATGAAAAGTT